TTAATCTTTTTTTATAAGAAATTTCTTGAAACTCTAAGCCAGAGGTCCCTGAAAACCTCCGCGATGCCAAAAATAAAATATAATGTACGAGTATGAAAGGCAAGCAAGCGCCCTTCACAACATATTCTCACAAAATTAGTTTCAACCCTTTCCACACCATTCAGCCTAAAAGTGCTTATTTAAATATTGCAAGCGTCGTACTCTTCAGTACATACATCGCTGTTAATTCAGTCATCCTACAGACAGCCTGAAAATGAGCATTGAACATTTATAATCGACGCCTTTATTACTTAAATTTAGCTATGAATCAACAAAGTCGAAAGGGAAAATTTTTCTTCTGAAATTATTTACGGACAGTGTGCTGAGTTTAAAGGATAAATACAAAAGAACATTTTATTTCATTTGAATAACTTAAAAAATGAGTTCAAGGTTCAAGTGATTGAAATGCAACACGATAGTGACATGAAAGAAGTATTCGGGAGAGGAATAAATCTTGAAGGTTTTTTGACTCAAATGTCAGTTTCCTTCCCGGTTATTCGTGAAAGCGATATAGATTATCCAACTTTGTTGGCGGCGCAGGCATCCTCGCTGTCGACATGCACTTAGCTTTGAGTAGCACTGAACCAAGTATTCAGAAGTTAGTTTGCAGTCACAAAAATCGCACTAAAACTATATATATTTATCTCTGTCATGTAAAATTTTTTTTACAATTACTATACGTTACATCCAAACAATTCGTTGTCCGTGGAAAACAAAAATTTTGTTAGTGTTTGGCCGGGCTTCTCCTGCGATTTTAGGCGTGCGCCTTGATGTTGTCACACAAAGGGGAGGGACCTACAGTTTTACGCCGACTCCGAACGACGATTATATTTTTGTGAGAAGCTGTTTTTTCATGGCACACTCGGAGTTTCGCCAATGCCTGCCGAGTGCGACTGCTATTCGAAAATACTTTTTTATGTTGCTCGGAAACTGGGCTTGAACGCAGTCCCTGCGGCCGCACTGAATTCATATACCGCTCTTAAAAAAATATTATGCAGATCAAAAAGTAAACTTGAGTCTTTATATATGCATATGTAATATATATGTATATGTAAAATAAGTTCTAAAGAATTTTCTTCGCAAAACACACTGGATATTGCCCTAGCTACCGCATTCTATTTATTTAAACGAAAACCAAAAGACAAGTAATACAATTATAAATCCTTTCCAGTTAATATTTATGTCATTGAGGTTGTATTGTCTTTGCTTCTATTCTATTTTGTAAACTAAAGCCAGACTGAGAGTAGGCGAGTTTATTAGGTTGTGAACATCTGACTGGATATAGGGTTATATTTATGGTAATATTTTTTCTTCAGTTCACAACAATAGAAGACATGGAGAAATAATTTCAAACAGGTAACTTAATAAACGACACGATGTGAGTGCCCCGATTATTTTTCGAAAAACCCCCATTAACATTTGTTTTCAGCTGAAAGGAAAAGTTACAAAAAAAAATATATATAAATAGTTCATAAGTTCATTGTAATAACAGTTAATCAGAAACCTCTGGAATTCATATGAAAATTTATAGAATTTTTGCATACAGGAGACTATGGGCTGGTTTCTCCAACTCAACTTAACTTAGTTAAGTCAATTTTCTTGACTTAGTCAAGAATAAGCTGTGTAAAACGTAGGCTAACTTTTGACTTAAGTCCAAAAAGTGGCTAAACTAAGTTAAGTCGAGTTGGAGAAACCAGCCCTATGTATTTAGACGCCTAGACCGCCAATAAAATTCCCCTCGTACAAATTAAATGCGCTCAAATCCTTGTCGACAAATTTAAGTGTAATTCTTAAAGCACAAAATTATTGTAGGTAAAATGAAGTCATTTCACGACAAGAGTAAAGTGGGCTAATACGCACTTCAAGCGGAAGCTAAAAAAATAAAACAGTGCAAAAACTGAAACAGAAACACAATAAACAGAGTTTACTTGGCGATAAATGCATTTCAACCGGCGCAGTTTAAGCAGTTAGGCGAAAATGCAAAATTCCAACCCCGCAACGCAATTCGACCAAAAAACGAGGGCAACAAACCGTTTTCGTCACAAAAAAGGGAAGATGCAAAACGAAAAGCGGAGGAAAGCAAAAACAAGCGCAGAAAACAAAACACTCCAGAAGTCAAGTGGCCATGTGGCAGCAAAAAACAATTGCACCGCGGCAGAGGAAGTGAGGCAAAGTGCCAGCCACAACAGCTGCCAGAGCAGCAGCAGCAGAGCGTGCAACACTGGATCGGCGTTGGTGGCGGCAAGAACAGCAGCCACGGCTCTGGGGCAAACGGTCTGCGCGTAGACATACATACATTCATACACACATACATACGGAACATAAAGTACAAGAACTGCCACAGTTACAAATGCATACATATTTACATATTGCCGTCTCTGCAGCGTCTAAGTGCATCTTGCCGCAGCCGCAATTCGGGAATGTTGCACAGCCAGAAGTGGCAAATTAAATTCAAGTAGCTGCAAAGATGATGATGACGTTGATGTCGACGCACACTGCTGGCGACTGACTACTCGAGCTCAATGAATCTTTAGCTCGTTGTTGTTTCATTGTGTTTTGTTTTTCTCGCATGGCAAACGAATCGGGAAGAGTCGCCGTGGTGAACCAACCAATCGACGACCAATCTTTGGTCCAGTGAGATTTTGGCTGCGGTGACGTGGCTACCAGCACCTTTGC